CTCTCTGTCTAGGGTTGTTGGTTTCCTCTGTAAATCTCACTACATTAAAATCCCCTCCCACACACCATGGTCCTTCCCAAAGGCCCCTAATATCACTCAACTCTTCCCACAATTTCTTTCTCTGCCTAGTCATTAGGGCCATAAACATTTGTTAGTACCCATTCAAAACCATCTTCCACCTGCTTGAACTTTAAAGAAACATAATGATCACCTATTAACTCCTCCATTCCTATTAGCACATCTTCTTTCCACAATGTCACAATCCCACCTGAGGACCCCCACGACGGAGCCACCGCCCACTTAATCCCCCTAGCTCTCCAAACACTACTTGCCCATCTGCAATCAAAATCCATTCTTTTGGATTCTTGAATTAATACCACATTTGGATTAAACTTCTTAATCACCTCTTTAATTGTTGCTCTCTTCCTGGCACTACTCAGCCCCCTCGCATTCCAACTTAGGATTCTCATTTCAATTTTGTAAAAAGCAACCCTACCACCACCAAAATCTATTTAAACCCTTTCCTTCTGTCCCCTCTCGCCCCAAACTTCTTATTCCCCTCAATATCTCTTTTTAATCTCTCAACTTCACTCAATTTTCTTTTCTTAATCTTTCTATCCTCTTTTTTTTTTTGTAGAAATGCTTTTAAATCATTTGGGTTCTTTAGTTTACACCCAACTTTCCCACAAATTCTGCTACTGAATCTTCCCTACAAGTTTCCCCTTCATCTAGTTTTCCAAGCTCTCCACTTCTAATCCTCTCCTCATTCCTTATCTCATTCTCTCCACCAGGAACTCTTTTTGCTCCACTTGTACCCTCCCTTTGCAATTCATTCCTCTCCACTTCACCCATTATTCTCTCAATGATACCCCAGATCCTTTTATCCCTGCAATTTATTCCCACTACTGTCTCCCCCTCCTCCCCCTGTATCCTCATTTTGGCTTCCTGTCCATGGGCCTTTGACTCTTGGTTGGAAAGGGAATCTGGAACAAGGGACACAGAACACTCATCAGTAGCAAAAATTGAATTGACAGAGTTACCTGGTTTTGACTAAGGGTTGTGAGACGGGCAAATGAGGGTGGTTGGTTTTCAAACCCTATAAAGAACAATTGGAGCTTTTTGTCTCCTCGGATTGGAGGGAACTATTCCCTGTCAAATGGTCTACACAAATACCTTTTCCCTTACCCAATTGTTCATTTCTCTGTGATGTACCCTTGTTCAGATCTGGGTTAGTTTGAGCTAGCACCTTTTCAGCTACTTGCATGGCGCTAAAACTTGGTAAAGGCTTATCCGTTTTTGGACTTTGGCCCACCCTGTTCATGTTCACCGGAGCCTCCAAGTCTTTCTTATGTACTCCCGCCGTATCTCCGAGAAAGAGATGCTCCAAGTTTAATGTCTCTCTAATTTGGCCTTCATAGAAACCTTCCTCTACCGAACCATCAATACTTGCAATTTCTTCTGAACTCCCCTCTATATCACTCTCCAAACTGTAGCTTATCCACCCTTGGTCTTCCTCCTCTCTTTCTTCTATTTTGTCTCTAATGTAGCGCAGGTTTGGGCAATCAACTACACTGAGAGCCTGCTCGTCAAAGTCCAGACGATGGGTCCAGCTCAGGGGACGCTTTCCTCCTTTTGTTAGCATTTTCTGTGACTCATTCAATTCGGCCGACCCTTTTCTAGAAGAAGATAGACGAGAGTTTTCGTCTATAATCTCTCTAAGTCTCTCTCGAGTCCTACCCCACGTGACGCCTTAAGTCATCACATGGACCACTAATGGAGGCATGTGGTCCACATTTTGGTTCACCCGCTCTTACAGCCGGTTCAGATAGAGTATCTCTGTTGAGACCCGCCGAGTTACTTCCCCTTCTGGCCACGTCAGCATAGGAAGGGCCACCTAAATACCTTGACTTTAATTCAAAGAATTGTGAATTAATAGCTTTAAATGGTAAGCTTCGAGAAATGGTAACCCCCTGCAATTGTTCATTCTCCTCTTTTGCTCTATCACGCACAACAGGTTTCTTCACCACTCCTTGGGTGCCACATGTGCTCCATCCTGCGACTTCACCATCGTCTCCTACCTCTGGTCATCTTCCCCAGAGAGACGCCTCAACTTCCGATGCCAACCAAACCCTGTACCAATGCACAAGGCAGGCTCTCAGGCTTAATCCCTGCGACTTTAATCTCCACAGCACGCAAGCTTCTCAGGTTTAGCTCCAATAGAACACCCCCTAGGGCTCTGACGATTTTTCCAAAGGTCTGTTCGTTCCAAAGATTAAAGGGGAGTCCTAAAAGTTTGATCAAGAGGTTGCCATCCTTTGTTACTACTTCATTGCATATTGGAACCCAGTTTTGTATTTGTATCAGTCCTCCATCTACTTGGACTGTATTGAAACTCAGTTTCTCGTCGCCTGTATCAAGGATGGCTTTCTTCTCAGTAAACGACAATAAGACAGCATCACCTTCTAAGCCCAGTCTTTCTGCAACTGCATCTAAGACTTTCGTCCAATCCCTTACAGTCCTATCTGTCGTTAGTACCATTCTGTGTTCCCATTTGCCTCTCCCTTCTTCAAGTGCTAATTTTCAAATTCCAGTTGAACTTGCTACCATAATTTCTTGACGATATGGGCTTTGTTTCTTGCTATGCTCCGAAGTACCACGGCTTGTTATCAGTTCTTTCTTCAACCTTCCTCTCGCTTTCGAAGAGAAACGCTTGAAGGTTATTTGTGAAGGAAATCCAACCTTGTCCCCTCTATCCTTCTGGTATGCATATTACTTGTTTTTTGTTAGTGCAAAAGTTTTTTGTTACCATGATAAACCATCCTCTCCCATTCCTTCTCAGTACTGTTTCATAGCTCTTCCCACAACATGCCACTGAATTTTTCCAGCCTTCTTCCCTGATAGTGTTTACTATTCCATCAACAAAGCCTTTCAACCAGTAACATGCTTCCTCTGGTATGAATATCGTTGCCCTACTACCTTCCCTGATTTTCAAATATGCCTTACCTCTTGTCCTTCCCTGCTCGAATAAGAAATGTTTAGCTTCAATACCCAACTCCAACCTCCACTTCCCCGTCGGCCTGAAGTTTCTCTCCTCTCGTTCCATCTCCCTTCCCCTTACTATTTGTTTGGATGAGCAAAAGCTTGGTGATGCATTGATTTCAAAATGATCTATTGGTGCATCACTGTTGCTCTTTAACAATTACTTAAGAATCCCCTTCTGCCATCACATTCCTCAAATTAAGTAATCTTCCTCTTCCCATCTGCAAACCTAGTAGTTCCCACCTTTGTGGTATCCCCATAACCTATGGGCCCTTAGTCAATTCATGCATGCCCCTAAGACTACCCACCTTGAAGCAGCTGAAAGAATTCTCAAATATCTTAAAAAATTCCAAGTGCAGATTTATTGTTCCAAAAGCACGGGCATTTGAAGGTTGAAGATTGGGAGGAAACCCAGTCACTTGGAGAAGCAAAAAGCAGAATGTGGTGGCTAGATCTAGTGCTAAGCTGAATATAGAGCAATGTCTCATGGAGAGGCTGAAATAATGTGGCTAAAAAATCTATTTCGTGAGCTAGGATTTACAGTTGATGGACCTATGACTTTATATTGTGACAACAAGGCAGCCATAAACATTGTTGCTAACCCAGTACTACATGATAGAACCAAGCACATTGAGGTAGACAAACATTTTATCAGAGAAAAGGTTGTCAAAAGGAAAGTGTGCACCCCCTATGTCAGGTCCGAAGATCAACTCGTAGACATTTTCACAAAAGGGTTACATCATTTGTGGAACAATGATCTATGTGACAAGTTGGGCATGATTGAATCTATGTCCCAACTAGACCTGTTCATGGGTCGGGCCGGGCTTTTACTAATTAACAGAATTTTTCAGGCCCAAGCCCGAGCCCGACCCTCTTAAAAAGCCCGAAGCCCAACCTAACAATGATTTTTTTCACTTTTATTGAAGATTGCATCCTGAGTTTCCTAGTGAGAATGAGTTTGTCGGAGTTCACTGGTGGCGCTGGTGTTCACTGGTGAGAATGAGAACATTGAGAAGATGGAACACACACAGAAAGAGAGAGAGCGCAAAATCATCGTCGCAGTTCACTGGTGGCGCCGATTCCTGAGAAAATGAGAATATGCGACAGTGAGTGAGAAACTGAGAATGAGAACTAAGAGAGAAACGAGAGAGAGAGAGGACTGGTGGGAAGCAAGAGAGAAAGAGAGAGACGACTGGTGCCTGAGATCGTCGGTGCCTGAGCTCACGTGTCGCCTCTGAGACTAACAATGGTGGCTGCCTGTCTAGGTTTGCGCTGGTTCTTGAGAGTGAGAGTAAGAAGAGAAGAAGATGAAGACTGGAGAGAGGGAATAAGAAAGGGTACTTATTCGGCTAGGGAATAAGAAAGGGCTTTTGTGGCAAATCCCGAGCCCGGCCCGTAAAATGGTTGGGCCCGGGCTTTTAGGCCCGAGATCAAACCCGCAGGCTAATATCTATGCGCAAGCCCGTCCGGCCCATCGGGCTACCCAGCCCATGAACAGGTCTAGTCCCAACTTGAGGGGGACTGTTAAAAGGCTGTTTATAAGCTGTTTTCTTTGTTTTTTTGTTTCTGTTAGTGTCACAGGGGTACTATTGTAATTCCCCTCTCTTTACGTTATGTTTTAGTCGCCCTAATATAAATACCGAAAAGCTGGCGCTGCCAGCAACTCTTCTTGCTCTCAGATCTCTCTCTCTCTCTCTCTCTCTCTCTCTCTCTTCTCTCTTCTCTTCACTTCAGCTTCTGGACAAGAGGGAAGCAAATAGCTTGGTGGATACTCTAGCAAAGCAGAGAGCTGATAGACCCACTTTATTTTGGGCAATTTTGTAATATATTGTAACCTTGGTCATTTAAAGATGACTTGCCTTGTACTTTCACAGTAACTTTTAATTAATTAAATGAATTTATGTACTGATAAAAAAAAAGATATACAGATAAATAAAAGACAAGTGGCAGAACTTAATAACCTTTTCAAAACTTGTTGCTTGATGGACCAATTCATCACGAGAATGTTTCCCAAAATCTGGAACAATTTCATTTGCAGCTTGAACTACATCAACAATATTTCCTATGAGGGATTCAAGTTCATTCAGAAGACTCTTGGCTGCAATGGTGGAAAAGGATAATATCAACGTATGACTCAAGTCCAAAAAAAGAAATTGGTTATAGGAAACTGCAGGCAGAAAGTACGAATGCAGGAATGAAGCCAAAGCACAATGAAAGCAAAAAAAATATTCAATATACAAATAGGCATACATATGCCAGTGTGTGAAAACCTAGGTCAAGCATGTAAGGTACCAAAAAAAAAAAAACAGAGCACTATCTATACTGTAGAAAATGCATGACTTGCAAACCACGTTCTAAATTTTTTTTAGCATTCCAATAAATCCATAAGTCATAGCTCAACAAACAAAATTTAAGTGATAAGGCCATCCACAGCCTCCACAAGGGACAAGATAGCAATTCAGAAACAAAAACAAGCATTAGGCAAAAGTATATATAGTACTGCTACAGACATGGTAGGAATCATGAAAAGTTAATGTTGTCTTCTAAAACTTCTTTTCATGGGGAACCATGTCTGTAGCAGCACTAGATTCACCCTAGCATTATTTGCTAGCTTTATGAAAAATCATAAACCAATTCAAACAAATTTTTGTCCCATTAATCCACCAAATAAAATTTGGCTACCATTTTAACTATAAAAGGAACTCTAGTTAAAGTTGTCAATCCAACCAATAGACTAGTAAAATGAACCTATGATCCTTCGAGTAGGAAAGGTTCAGTGAGTGGCTCAAACCAAATGCTCTTCTTCATGCACTCACTCTGGTGGCATACCCCAAGCCAGTTACTTGTCCTAGGGATCATAGTAGCTTGGCCATATGCTATCTCTTTGAATCCAGGATGGCTACTGGATGCTCCAGCAATTGATGAGCAGCAGTAGGCAGCACCCTCCACCGGGAGAACATAGGATCAGCAAAGGGGATTCCTTGCTACGCTCAATTATTACTGCCTTAGATTAAATCTAGAAATCAGACTTGAACCACACAACCAGCCTGTTCCAAAATCAGAAGATCCAGAAGAGACAGATTTTGGAACAGATTCTTCAGATAAAGCATCTGTCCAGAGCAAAGATTGTATTGTAGTCACGGAACGAAGAAGGAATTTCGAGCGAGTGATTCATCATCAATAGTGGCCCACCAAGCCTCAGTTCCAGGACATTGAAACTTCTTAAGCCTTAGAATGATTACCACCAAAGGACAAATACCATTCATTCATGCACACAAAAATGCCTTCCTACAAGAAGCATATTCACCTTGATCTGCAACCACAAAAGGTTCTTAAATTGGTTGTATCCCCACCATAAACTTGGTCTTCGTGTGCTAATGTGAAATTTAAACAAAGAACTAATTCAAACGAATCTTAGGCCCTTGAGCTCCAAAGAAATCAGACCATTAACTTTCATAGCGAAAGACGTATAGTACAATGATTTAATACACTAGGACTAATTACATGACCGACTACACTAATAGAAGTAGAATGCTATGACTAACTATGCTAGAGACTTATAGAGCAGTGATTGACTACATTAGTAAAGTAAAAAGTATAGTCATATAGCAAAGTAAAAAGCTGTATAGCACACCGACTAACTACATTACTACAATATAGCACGTACACTGACTAACTACACTAGTAGTTACCCATTATTCATCCAAAAGGAACAGGGGAAGCAAGGCAGTCTGATCAATTTCCATCAAATTGGAAGCATACAACATTTATGCTAAATCATGTGTTTTAAACCACTTTCTTTGGTTGAAAACCAAACTCTAGTCTCATGCATTACCATTAGTAGCAGGTGAATGAAACATGGTACAGAACTAATCCTCCTGAGAACTAAGGTTTCTACCACTAGTGGGAATTTTAGAAAATTGCTTTCTAGGATGAGAAGGAAACTTAGATATGGAGGATGGTGAAACAAATCTGGTTTCAGCCAAGGCTTCATAGGGAAGATTTAAAGAGAAAAAATCCTCTCTAGAAAAGGTGAATGGATGTTGAGACTTGAAGGAAATTGAGAGGAGACTTACCAGGAAGCAAATTTAGTCCTTTAGTTGATGATGAATGGTTTATTTTTAATTGCCACTTCTAGAAGGAAAATGAAAAACATCAGCATGAGTTGGCAATTTAGCAAGTAGACAAAGAATTTGAAGAATCTGTTGAGATTGTAACTAACCAAGAATGAAGTCTATGTAAGTGGAAGCATGTACTTTCTCCCTCCCTCCCTCCCTCAAGGGGACCCTAACAACAGTAGTGGTACAGTTGGAAAAAGAGACAACCAATTGTGACGGTGAACAGGAGGGAACTGGTGGAGACGGTGATCAGGGAGGCAACACTGGAAGGCACCGACCATTTTTTGCGCGACTAGAGTTTTCAACCTTCGCTGGCGACCATCCCACCCTGTGGATTTTAAAGTTGAGGAATTTCGAATTTCATGATACTCCCAATCATCAAAGAGTTATTGTTGCTTCATTCCACTTGGCGGGGGAAGCCATTTTATGGTTCCAATGGTTCAGGCAATCCGCCCCCAAGTATCTTGGACTGACTTCACCAAAGTCCTATGTGTTCGTTTTGGACTATTGAGATTTGAGGACTTTGATGAAGCCCTACCGAAACTCCAACAAGAAGGCTCTATCAGAGATTATCAACTGGAATTTGAAAGACTAGCAACTAGGACGCAAGGTTGGCCGGAAAAAGCCCTGTTAGGATGTTTTATCAGAGGACTGAGGGAGGAAATTCGAGTGGAGGTAAAAGCAATGCAGCCTACCACCATATAAGTTGTTGTGGGCCTCATGCAGATACAAGAACGGCTCAACTGTTTAAGAAGGGGACGGTTTACCAGAACCGAACTCACAACCATTCGAGTTGAACCACCAGCACCCAAGATTGAACCTCAACCAGGCCCAATTTTCAAATAACCACCAAGAATTGAGGCAGGCCCACTAAAGAACCGAACTAGTAATACACAAGCGATCCCCTTACAAGCGACTCTTGTGGGTCGAGATGCAGGCTCAACAAGATCGCAGGTTATGTTATAATTGTGATGAACAATTTGGACCAGGTCATCGTTGTAAGATCCAGCAATTGTTTTTTGTTACAAACCAATGATGGGATAGATAAACTCTTCCAGTCCCTTAACAGATGGTTATGAAGGAGAAAACCTCATGGAATTAACAACAGCAGAGGTATCCTTACAAGCCTTAGGAAGTCAAGGGTCACCCCAAACAATGCGGGTAGTCGGGCTGCTAATCCGGCATGTTTCTATACTAATGAACAGGGACAGCACTTTAAATTTTGTTACCCTAGCCCTCACCAAGCAGCTGGGCCTTGAACCACAATTTGTCCCTTCATTTGAGATGCATGTGGAAGATGGCAACCACCTAAGGTGTGAGGGGGTCAAGAAAGTTGTACCAATTCAAATTCAGGACTACAAGGTGAGAGCCAACTTATACCCCTTACAAATCAGACTGGGGGTCCACTGGCTCAAACAGTTGGGCCAAGTACTCTATGATTGGCAAAAAATGACAATGGAGTTCTCCTTTGCAACCAACCCTAATGCAAGCCCAAGGCCTGAAAACCATCATGAGGAGCTTTCATAAAGCCCAACCAAATGTATTCATGTAGTTGGGGCTTGATCCCACCAGACCGGTTCTTAGATCTGACTTGGGCCAGCAACAGTTGAAACAAGTATAGATCAAATTGCTGATGTATTCAAGGAACCACAACAGCTTCCTCCACACAGAGTGAAGGAACATCACATAGAAATTATGCCAGGTGCACCCCCTGCAAATGTCAGGCCTTACCATTACACTAACTCACAAAAGGCTAAAATTGAGAAACAAGTACAAGAACTCCTCCAGAAGCAGTTCCCTCAACCCAGCTCCAGACCTTTTTCTTCACCAATGCTCCTCGTTAAGAAAAAAGATGGCACATGGAGATTTTGCATCAACCACAGCGCTCAACAAAATTACAGTTAAAGGTCACTTTCCAATTCCACTCATTGATGAGCTACTGGATGAGTAGCAATCAGCCACCATATTCTCAAAGTTAGATCTAAGGTCTGGATATCATCAAGTTCACATTGCACCCAGCTGAGATCAACAAAACGGCCTTCCAAACACATAACAGCCATTATGAATTCCTGATCATGCCATTGGGTCTCACTAACACGCCATCCACCTTCCAAGCATTGATGAATGAGGTATTTCGGCCATTTATGCACAAATTTATATTGTAGTCCAAATTGAAGATCACATATGCTACACTTGTGTAGTGCATTATCCTTGTTGCACCAACACCAACTATTTGCTAAATCATCAAAGTGTGAGTTTGCTAAAACACAATTTCAGTATTTGGGACATAAGGTAAGCCAAGTGACTGCCATGGCCCACCCTAGTAAGGTAGAATGCATCCACTCTTGACCAGAACCAAATTCAACCAAGAGTCTAAGACATTTGCTAGGACTCTCGACATATTACAGAAGATTTATTAAAAATTCTGGACTTTTGGCCAGGCCACTGACACAATTGTTGAAAAAAGGTTCCTTCACTTGGACTAAGGAAGCCCAAGAAGCTTTTGAAAAGCTTAATTAGGCAGTATCCAGCAGACCCACATTGGCATTACCTGATTTCTCCGGGACATTTGTCTTGGAGTGTGATGCTTCAGGTGGAGTGGGGGCAGTCCTCATGCAAGAAGGGAGGCCCATTGCCTATTTTAGCAAGGCCTTGGTGGGTCAGGCTTTGGCCAAATCTACTTGTGAAAAAGAGTTCATGGCACTCGTGTTGGCGGTGCAGAAGTGGAGGGCTTATTTGATAGGATGCCAGTTCATCATAAGAACTGATAAAAAAAGTTTAAAATACCTCTTAGAACAAGAGATTTACATTGTAGACCAACAACATTGGGCCTACAAATTAATGGGGTTTGACCATGTCATTGAATACAAGCCAGGAGCCTCTAATAGAGTGGCTGATGCCCTCTCTCAGGTCCATGAACTTCACATGACCACAGTATCCAAACCAGTCTATTCCCTAGTGGAGTTTATAAACCGTGAACCCTCAGCTTATTCCAAGCTACAGGCCATTCGTGACAAATGGACACATGATCCAGCATCTGTACCAGGCTATACTGTAACCAATGATAACACTTTTTTATAAGGGCCGATTGGTCATAGCAGCAAATTCTCAGTATTTACCACAGCTACTACAATTATTTCATGACTTCCCACTAGGAGGTCATTCTGGAATACTGAGAACCTACAGGCATGTTGTTTCCCACTATTAGTGGCAAGGAATGAAGCAGGCCATTAGGACATATGTGGCAGCATGTCATACCTGTCAACAATAAAAGTATGCAGCTCAGTCTCCAGTAAGACTCCCACTACCACTTAAGATACCAGAAAAGGTAATGTGATGAAGTTGCCATGGACTTTATTTCCAGATTACCAAAATCAAAGGGCAAGTCCACGATTCTAGTGATAGTCGATAGGCTAGAAAAAACCTCAAAAGAAGAGAAGTGTGTTCAAAGCATCAACTGAGGTTCTCAATGTTGCCTTAGGAATTTTGTCTTCAGAGGAAGATGGACAGACAGTTGTGTGTAAGATCAGAACAAGGACAGCTGGATTTTGCTGAAGATCAGGATCCCACACGTACCAATGCCTTAGATGGCCCAAAGTTGAGGGCATCTAGGATTGTGGGTATTCAGCTCAAACCGGTTGAACCGAAAGGGGTTTTGTTAAAGGATCACGTGATGGAGGAAACAAGTGGTAGGGGTGCAATCAAGTCAAACTCTAATCGAATAGTTCGGGCTTGAGTTCAAAAATAGGCTCAGTTCAAGTTCAATTCTAATCAAGTTCAAATAGAGCTTGAATCTTAGGGTAAGCTCGGCTAGTTATTCAAAGCTCAACCAATAAAAAATTCGGCTCAAAAACTCACGAGCCTGGTGTGTGTGTTTGTGCGTGCACACACATATATATACATGATATCTAAAAATCTCACAACCAATCAACTGGTATCATAAAAGAGATTAGGGGTGTAAACAGATCGAATTCGAATCAATCACGCAATATCTGAATTCGGAACCGATTAGAAAATTCGACATCCAAATTCGATTCAATATAACGGATATTGAAAATCAAATGTTCAAATTTGAATTCAATTAAATATTTGAATATTCAATTCGAATTCGAAATCAACCGATTAATTATTTTAGTTAATTAATAAACATTTTATTTATATAAAGTATGTAAATATATAAGTTATTTATATATATTTATTATATATAAATTATATAAAGTATTTAAATAGTCTATATATTATTTATATGAATTAAATAATCGGTCGAATTCAAATATTTATCGATTCGAATCAAGTCATATCCGAATTTGATTTGATTAGTTAAATGGTAGGAATAGATATTCGAATTCGACCAATTATGATATTCGAATTATCCGAGTTCAATTTGATTATGTTGAATCTCGAATTCAAAATAGGACTTTCGAATATCATTGACACTCCTAAAAGAGATGACCAATCAGGTGGTATTAATCAATATTCACATAAATGCTTTGATTGGTCAAAACTCTTCTGATACCATGTCTTTCCGGAATACACTATACATTATGAAATGTAAAAATATATTCATGTTCGAGCTTTCGAGCGAAACTCGAGCTCATCGAATATTTAATCAAATCGAACTCGAAATAAAAAATAAAATACAAATCAAACCCAAACTCAAGCTCAAACCTAATGGTATATTAGTCGAGTCAAGCCAAACCAAGACATGCCAAAGTTTGGCTCGGCTTGGCTCAATTGTTCTAGGTCGAACCTAAGCCATGTAATGGGCCTTGATTTGTTTGGTCCACCAAAAAGGGATTTTGTTTCATGTCACTTAATAACATATTTGAGAACGTGGAAGATCGCAAGTATGATCTAGCATCGCCTTCCTCAAAGATATTTTCAAAGCCTTCAGTGCTACAGAAATTAGAAGAAAAGTTAGATTTTCAAGTTTAGTTAAGGTTAGGAAGGTTGTTAAATTTAAAAAAAAAAAAAAAAAAAAAAAAAAACATCTTTCTAGGAAGTAGGGGTGGCCATGAGCCGAGCTCTTCACGAGCTACTCAAGCTCAGCTTGTGAAAAGCTTGACTCGGCTCGGCTCGTGAGGCTCGCGATCCGAGCTCGAATAGCTACATACATATATACATACTAATAGCTACATAATAATAATAAATATATATAATTATAGAAAATAATATATATAATAAAAATATATATTATATATAATATAATAAAAATATTATATATAATATTTTTATTTTTATATATAATAATAACTAATTATTATAATTCTTAATTTTTTAAATATCAAATAAAAAATATTTTAATATATAATTTTTTTATTTTTATAAAACATTTTTTCTCAAGTCAAGCCCGAGCCGAGCCAAGGTCGAGCTTACGAGTATTTTGACTTGAGCTGAGCTCGAGCTCAAGGTTCTAGCTCGAGCCTTGTACTACCTTGGCGAGTTGAGCTTGAATCCCGTACTATTCGACTCGGTTCGGCTCGAATCCACCCCTACTAGGAAGCATGAGGGTTGGCATAAGGAGATTTATGGGATTGGATAACAACACTTTTTTTCGGCATGATTTTGTGCTCAAGGGATATGATCTCCTCTGTTCTTAATTAGGGTCAGGTTGGGTTGCACCAGTGATCAATGAGCACATTACAGAGGAAGTTTTACAGGGTTTAGGAGTGGACGATGGTGGTGCTCGTTGCAATCAACCCCTTGGGGACCATATTCGTTTTTTTTTTTTTGGGGGGGGGGGATAAATCTTGGGGACCATATTCTTGAAGAGCAAGCGTTTTCAAACTTCGGAAAATAAGTTGTGAAGGGCAGTACTATTTAAGGAGATTGCTTTACAAGAGGAATTTGTAACATTAGGAAGAGAAGAAGGAACGATTGGCTGGGGGTAGAAGAAATTGAGCCTTCAAAGGATCCTTAGAGCTCTTGCAGTTTCGAGGAAGAGGATAATGGGCTGCAGTTCACATAGACACTAAAGGATATACCTTTCAACTCTTTTTTTTTTTATTCTAGGAATCTTTTGTATCTAGATCTGTAGTGTAATCAGCTATTCAGTTTTTTTCCTTGTTTCAAATTCTTTTTGAAAAGGGCCTTGTATATTTTGTTTTGCCTGTTATAATACATTACTTTTCTCTAAAAAAAGGAGGATAATAGATCTTTGTCAAATGTTTTTAATGGAAAGTTGGGGATGGAATTAAGGAAAAAAAAGATGTTAGTGTGGGTGAATAAATCAAAACATGTGATGTTCCTTCAATAAAATCTAATGTTGGCCAGTTGATTCGTGTCACATAAGTGTTTTATCATTTGAAGGAAGGATTAATTTTCATCATTTGAACTCTCTTATACTTGCCCTTGCATCAAGTATAAGAGTTTAAAAAAGGGAAGAGGATTAAGGATAGAACTAGAACACAGAGTAGTGCAAGAAACGGTATTGGTGCGAAGTTGTTGGAGAAGGGTGGCAAGGAAGGAAATGGCTCTTTCTTCAGATGATCAAAAGGAAGTTTTTCTTTAGGTGAGGAGGAGGTTCAGGGAGTGGAGGAAGATTTAGAGGAAAAGGAAAATGTAGGGGAGGAGGAAAACAAGGAGGTGATATTTTGTTGAAAGAGGGAAACAACACAAAAAGTGGATTTGGAAATGGTACTGGAAACTGAAGTAAGCAAGATTTTAGGGCTTTCTTTTTTAGGAGGGGAAGAATTTGCAAGAAACGTTTTTTGGGAATTGGAAGAGAGATATAATCCAGTTGGAGAAAGATCTTAAGGGAATTTGGTGTAGTGAGATTTGGTAGGGTTGCTTGGTTTGGGGATTCTAGGGGCAATTGTTTTGGGAAGTTTTTCTTTTTAAAATTTGGAAAAGTCTTTTTTCATTTTCTTGGGTCGGTGGGTTTGGTGGTTAAGATTGGGTTTTGTCTTTCTGTGGATGATAGTTTATCACCCTAGTGCACTGCTCTTTTTTCTTCAATAATATTATCTTTTTTATTTATCTTTAAAAAAAAGATAAATAACTAAAGACTAAAGAGGTCAAAGATTAGACAATTATTGTCTTTTGTGGATGATTGGGTTTTGGCCACTTGACTCCCTAAACCATTTGACCTGGTCAACAGGTCACAGATTAGACAGTTATTGTCTTTTTCTTGTAAATTTAGAACATATCTCTTTTAATTGACTAGTTTGTGCCTAGGAACCAAGTAGCCATCACAATGATTAAAGACCAAGAGAGGCCAAAACGACCACTCAACCATCCAATTGGACTGGTTGACCAGTCACCAGGACAAATTCTCCAGTTCGTTTCACCCCAGAACTGCTCACTTACAAAATACCATTGACTCAACCAAGGACAAGGTGAAGCATCTAGTTGAACCTCTAAACCATTTGACCTGGTCAACAGGTGGATTAGACATTTATTCTCTTTTTTGTAATAATTAGCCATTTCCATCATTAGTAACAAAATTATCATTTATCGCACTTATTTTCATTTAATATGATGAATTTATAATATTAGAAACATGCCTAATTATTATGTAACATTCTACATTTTTTTCTATATTTTTACCTATTTATATCAGTGTTTTAAAAGCGTAAGGTGCAAGGACCCATTTGCGGCCGAGGCCAGGGCGAGGTACATGCCTTTTTTAAGCAAGGCACAAAAATACAAAAACAAAATGCTAAAAAAAAATGTCAAAAATGCCAAATAAAATCAAAAGGCGCACACCTGGGCTGAGACACAAGGTGCATCAGGCATGCGCCTTTTGAAAGGGTTGTGCCTAGGACTAGACTTGTTCATGGGTCGGGCAGCCCGACGGCCCAGCCCATTATAAGTCGGGCTTGGTCATAATTTTAGGCCCACGGGCTCAGGGTCTGGCCTAAAGCACCGGGCTCAGGCTTTCTCAAAAAAGCCCGGCCCGAGCCCGACATGATACTATATATTAAATAATAAAAAATATATTTTATTTAATAAAATATATACAATATTTTTTCTCTGTTCTTCTCTTTTTTTCAAGTAATAGTGAGATGTTTATTATTTTTTATTTTTGAAGGTTTTTAATATAAATAAAACACTTTTTTTATTGAATAAATAAAGAAAAAAAATTTGTTTTCAAATTTATGGCTGGGCTCAAGCTCAAGACCTAGGCCCGATGGTCGGGCCAGGCTCGGGCTCGAGCCTGAATGTGTTCTATTGATACATAGACAAAGCCCGAACCGGCCCGACCCATGAACAGGTCTACCTAGGACCTAGGCGAGGCGCATACCCTAAAATGCGCCCCACCTATGTGCCTAGGCACGCCTTTTAAATCACTTATTTATATTTTACTTAAATGATGATGTCATAGGTTGACCTAGTTGACCCAAAGAGTGGTACAATTCCAGTTGGCCCATGTTAGCATTTCACACTACTTCCAGCTAGGCCTTTGGGCCAGGCACATTCAAATTTTGACAAAAACACAATCCGAGTCGGCCCAAGTTGCACCCCTCATATGATTGAACCACTAGTCCACCACCTAGATGGAAAAGTGGTTCCATTATCAGGTCAGATTTAAAAACATTGCCTGGCCCAAGTTGCACCCTAGCAAACAATTTGCTTTTATATTCTCTTGTTTTCGCTCAATTATGATTATATGTCATATCGTCTAATACTAGCAACCATATTGACTATAAAATTATTAGTGTTTGCAGGGGAAATACCTTTATTCAGATGATCGTGAAGTCCTCGTTTGCATTCATGTACTTTTGTGTGCATTATTTACCAAGAAAGGGAAAAAAAGGCCAACTTGTCAGTTAATTCATGGTAAAAGTAAAAAAAACAATAATATGAGATAGAATAAACCAAGAGAGGCAACTAGCTAAATAGGATAATTTAGCTACTTTAACAAATGGTACAACTCTATAATTCGCATATGACAATAGAAGCTTAGAAAAAACAATTGTCAACAATAACCATGCCTCAAATGAAATAATTAATAATAGTGCTCCTCATGACTGAAGCCTCTCAAAGAGGAATAAAAGAAAACCACTTTTTTTCCTGCAAGTTGCTGCATAACTAGAATTAAGGATAGTTCAAAAAAGAAAAATAGGTATTAGATGGAAAAAATACTACTTTGTTACTCACCAAAAGGAGAAAGAAGAAATAAATAAAAAAACTACCAAATTGTTTCAACCCTTGTTCACACTGAAGATGATCATGTCAATTCATTTTTCATGGTGAGAAGTTAAATAGTGAGAGGCCTCGGTGCAATATTAAAACCTCAGGCTAACATGCATGAGAATGAATCTCAACTATGAGAACCGCCAATTTGTACCAAAAAATAAGCCAATTGTTAGGTTCATGTCCAATCCAACCCTCCCAAGACCCTAGTAACCAGGATTATTATTGGGTAGGAATAATGCTATTAAGTATTTTACTACTAAAGATAGCAAAGTAGGCAATGAAAATTCCAGAACGGGAAGGAGTACCTATGTCTATCAAAACCCAAAACATGACAAAATGAAAGACATATATCTTTTCATATAACAATGTACCAGAGGATAGTCTGTTACATAAAATGCACCATAGTCATCAAGGCATCATCTAAGCACCTGCCTAGGTGTTAACTAGCTGACTAGGTGACTCACCTAAAACACCTTGTTTATAGAAATTAGGCGCCCATCTAAGCAACTATGCACCTGCCTAGGCGATAAGGCACCCACAGTCCCACCTAGGCAACTAAAATGACAAGACTAGCACCTTATTACAATACCATTCATATTGCTACATCTTACTATGTTATTTCATCCATTTATACTGTGTTTTAAAGTTTTACCATTGAAGTCTAAAAGACCCAAAGGTTTTGAGAAGAGAAAAAGGAAAAAAAAAAAAGAATAGAAATATAAAGAAGTTTCTTTCTTTCCTTTTTTTTTACTCTCTTTCTCTCTCATTAAATGAAACAGCATCTCCATCCTTGTTCTTTTTCTCTTTACTTATTTTGTCTTGAATTTTATCATATAAAATTATAACCTTCATTAGTTTCTAATTTGATATGAAGTTGCTCTATTAAATACTTGTTCCAGATATATTGATTTGCCATGATTTTTTGAGAGGAAATTTAATGTTATTAATAAATAAAATTGTTATTTTCCCAATCAATATCCATGTGGAATTGTAATATAAACTAGAGAACTAGGAATATCTTAGTTTTATTTTATGAAATTCTTTTTGCTTGGGTGTCACCTAAGCAACTAGGCACCCCACTATCACCTAGTCACCTTAACAACTATGAAATGCACCAATTTTGAAAAAAAAAATAATATTAATAATAAGACAAGGTTTTTCATTTAAAAGGAAAACCCAAATTCATCTCATTCAAAACATATTTTCTATAAAATGCTTCGATGAAAACATCTATGTCTTCAGGTTCTAAGTTATCCAACAGATAGTCTAAATCAAAAAACATTGCACCTTACACTTTCTTATACTTTGTACACCATCATTTGCAGTTATACATCCAGCTTCAAGATATGCTTTTAACCTCATAGTTTCATTTGCTTTAATGATGGCATCAACAACTTCAGATTTCTTGTTTACCGGAGGCCTTCGAAGCAACTCTGTTTCAAACACATGATATCAATGACGATGAACAATGTATCAGAACTTATGTCAAGTCAAATATAGCTCTGATGTGCTCACCTAAGGATTCTTGTAACCCACAAAGTAACTTGCTTCCTAATGAAACCAACTCCTCAAGCTGTGTAATTCTGAAATTACAGAACAGCAAGAAACCCAACAAGTTATGACTTATGGCAACAAACAAATTTAAAACAGCTAAAACAGAAATATAGCAATAGAAAAAGGTTTTGAGAAGATACATGAAAGTGATCAGCATGTTTTGGGAATTTAAGAAAAAAATAAGCAAGCTTTGTTTCTTGTTCATATGGATTACCTCGTCATGAAATCTGAGAAAATGTGGAAAGCCTTACTGTTCAGTTCTAATAATGCTGTGTTTTCTTCCTCCATTCCTCTGACTGCACTGTATGAAAGGTTTAGACCAAGTTTGCTCATTGCTGTCATTAAACAATAACCAAAATCATTACTACATAATTGTATTTAAAGTTCCTATTACTCCAGTGTAACAGACGCCAAGCATTTTGTGCCCATTTGGGAGGACTTTTGCATTGTGTGGCAAATGGATATGTTGGGTTGGATGTGGGTTGAATACCAACTCATCTCAAACACAACTTAAGGGTGGATTCGAGCCAAGATGAACCAAATATTTGGCTATTCCAGCTCAGCTTGGCATAAAAACATGAAGCTCAAGTTTGGGCTCAAGCTCAATTCGAGCTATAAACATGAGCTCGGCTTGACATGGATCCATATGCAACTGGACTGGACCCAATTCAGTCCAAACCCATACAAACCAAGTCCAATTCAGTCCAATTGGATTGCGAATGAACTGGATTGGGTCCAATCTGGTCTAAACTAAATGAAACTTCAAAAATTACATGAAAAAACCATAAAATATTTTAAAAATACATTTTTCTGCAAAAATGTATTGCAGAAAAATAAAACCTAGTGAAAAAAATCACATGTTCACCTAAACATTCCTTTCAAAGAAACTACAAAATTATAACCTAGTGGAAAATATTCCTCTTCAACCATATGAGACCATAACTGTATCAGATCAACAAAGATCTAATCTGAATGTGATTCCGACCACAAAACGTCTCTGACATTTAGATACTTCAAAGCATCTGGTCTGCTACGGTATAGTTGATCTTGCCAGGTTTGGCTTCTGTAACATACCACTTAAGCTCATTTTCAAATACTACAGCATTCAAGAGGGCTCTGCTCCTCTGTAACATATCACTTAATTTGGAGACAATATATTTAAACTCTTGATTGAAAGTAACCTTTTGACCTCTTCTCCTCTCAAACAACATTAAAACGACACCACAACAGAAAAAGGAAAAAAAAAAACAACAACAGCACACACATCGTCACTCCTGAAGTTCAATGCATTCAGAAATCGCTTGATTCTAATCATCCATTCATTTTCCAATCAAATAAGAAAATTGATTATTTAACCCAAAAAAAAAAAAAAAAAAAAAAAAAAACAGAGCCTGAATGGTGCGCACACACATCGACACCACCACGCACCTTTCTAGATATCACTCTCAAGAATGATAAGGATATTATTGAAACCAAAGAGAATCAAAGAAATCGAAAACAAAGAAGGATATCTGAGTGAAAGAATGGCATGGCCTGTCGCTGGAGAGAGTGAGAGAGAAAATCAATCGCCGGAGAGAGAACCCTTTTTGGCTGTTCGCTGTTCACTCAACCGCTGGAGCCTGGAGACCGGAGAGAACCCCATTCCACTCAATCGCTGATTCGCTGTACAAACGAGAGGACCAGGATCTTTGGACCATGGGTTTGAAAATCGGACGGTCGGACCGGTTGAACCAAGAATGGTCAGACAACCGGTTTCATTTCTTCCTAAACTCGCTCCTCGGCCAAAACCAATGATTTGGTCAGCGGGTCGCTGACCCATTAACCTGAATAACGGTTTTTTGTCATTTTTCTAGTGGTAGGCCACGTGCATTGCACGTGAAAGTTCACCATTTCAAACATGGATTCGTAAACAAATAGGGTTAAGAAGTAAAATGACATAATGTGGAAACTTATTCCTGCCTTTTGAAATGATGAGCAACAATGTTATCATGCTTAATATATCAGAATCAAACAAGCATTCAGCATAAAGCTTATTAACTAACAAACAAAGGTGGAAGGGAAAGAGTTTGAAGTTAGGACAAGAAAGATATAGTTTTATCTATTTCAGAGCTATTCTTCCATATTAGAAATCGATCAAATCCATTCCCACTCTAAGTACATACACAGGTCCAAGGGATATGTAAAAATAACACACTGATCCAAGGGGCATGTACCCAATACCTATGTTCTTTTCATAACCGCAACCATCAAAATTTAATTTGACTTTATTAGGAGATCAAGGATGCCAAATTCCAGGATCGATTTTCTAACTTCATAAATTTATTCAAGGGAATGAGAAAGGTAAATAAAGCTTGATTTTTCCCTTGAGGCATGCATTTCATAAGATCTTAGCTACATATTGCATCATTGCTGGTTAAGCATGATGGCTTCTTTCCTAAATATCTATTGTTCCATACAAGTACAAATCCAGATGATGTTTGTTACATTAAGATTTTTCTTCTTGGAAAAGTTATTTACTAGTTTTTAGTTCAACATAAAGAAGACCGAAGTATATCTCTGTTTTTATATGGCATATCGCGTTTTTTCTCCTCTTCCACAAACTGCAAATCTTGATAGTGAAACAAATCTGAAGACTAAAAAGGCACTTAAAAGCACTTATGATGACTTGACTCTTGGTAGGGCCTCTGAATTTAAGGATTTAACCAACCTTTTCCACTTATGCACCAACTGATTTTAAGCTCCTTTGAACTAATTAATTAAATATGCAAGGCTTGTGTTGTTTAGATTGGGTTTTAGTGTATGGGGAGAAATTGGTAACTCTAGCTAGTAAGTTTTTATTCAAGACAATCATAAAAAGAGATGTCGAATGAGAAAGGGAGAAATTTGTTTGCTCTAGCCTCACAGTAGTAAGAACACTAAGGTATTCAAAATAAATTAGGAAAATGAAGTATTAAAATTCCTAAGTACAACAATTGATAGCAATTAAAGAGCAATGATAAAATCATGTAGCCAATTAAAAAATAATATAATATAAATTTGAATGTTGAAATACCAATTCATATCTTGTTTTGCAAAACAAGATACGGTAGTCTCATAAAATCAACAAACTCAAATAATAAAAATTTCAAGTAAGCAATTCAAAGAGCTGAAGTCAAAACTGTCCTATAATCAACATACTCAAATAGGTAATATTAATTTAAATGCAAATAGAAGATTACAACCCGCTAAAATCTACAAAGGCAAATAATATAAATTTCAAAGTAAGCCTTAGTAGCAGAATTATAGATTATTTATATGAAGAATAATATATCTCACCATCATACATACCCTTTAGTCATTTTTCCCTATAATACTACTATTCCCCATATAATAATGTCTATGGAGCAATCAACCAAACACATGGAGTGGGTTTTAATAACCACCTAATCTACACCTCATCTACATTTGTCAGTTAATAAATTGAATAAACTCACTACTTAGCATATAGAGTCTATCTTCTAAAAAGAGTGTCATCAGAACTTCAAGGAAAATGTCTTGCATTTAAAATGGACTTGTTTAAGAAAAAAAGAACATGCATGACTTCGTTGAAGTCTGAATATACATGACTAAATTTAATTCGGTGGGTTCTACAGCATCCTTTAGTTTCAGAGAAAAATTACAATTAAAATTAAAAATACAGTAGGTAGAAGTACTTTACTTGCTAGATGCCTAAACCACGTTAGTGGCATCTTATTTGTCCTACCTGACCAACAATCGTTCAACTATGCTTTCCGACAAAACCTCTTGACATAATCGACCATTTATCAAAGTTAAAGTAGAAGAACACTTTGTGTTCCAATGGCAACAAGTGCCAAAACATGTTCGCCCATTCAATAGTTGTTTTAACATGTATAAATCAACTTTTTTTATGTTTTCACAAGGGGTAAAAATGAAAATAAATTTTAATAATAGGGGTAAAAGTGGAAGTATGAAATCAGGGCCTTTTGACAATAACCAATGAACCATTCTTATTTTTATTAATGGGTAAGATTTTTTATATCAAAATAGTCCCCAAAATAGGTGGTTGAACCATTTGACTCGTGAACCAGTCTCCAAAATGGTCCATGTCCGATCCAGTTTTTAAAACCTTGCTTTGGACACATCAATTTTGTTCAATTTCTGTTCCAATGTTTGTATGGACCATTATGTTCCAACTAGCCCAACTCCATTCAATTTTTTGGACCGCCCAGTCCATCCAAACACATTAGGTTTGGATGAGTTACAACCCAAACCCAATCCATTGATACCTCTATCTTGACTATTTGATTATGCATCTCCTACTAATGTTTAAACAATCAGAAACTCAAAATATATTGAAAAGGTAATTTTAAGAGACATATTGGGATATGTTTTGGATACATATAAAGAAGAACAAAAAACCTATATATGCATGGATATGATATGAAACACAAATAAATCCTAAAAAAATATATTAATAACACAAATAACATACTATATATTACCATAAATAATTTATTTAAACATAAAAAAAAACCCAACTTTAATGTTTACATAAAGAATGAGAGATCAAGACACAATCACATGACACAATCAGTAACTATAGTCCCATTCAAAAAAAAAATTCGGTAACTAATGGAAATTGATGAGAAAACTAAAATATGTACATATGTACTTTATATTAATTTTTAGAAAATCAAAATAATTTATCTTAATATTTGTTAATATATAAATTTTAATAATCATCTTGAAAATTCCAGGTTTTGACATGGGTTTTGTGTTTAGGGTTGATCCAACCCATATATTTAAATATATGTATTTTTATATATAAAAATTATAACATGACACATATAATATATATTTATGTTATTTTATGTTTACATTGTATCTTTTATATTAATACAAAATATTTAAATATTTTAATATGTTGTGGGCCACATGTGCAATAGCGGGTTGTGTCGTGCCAAGGCCTAGGTGGGTCATACTTGCTTGGACTGGAACCCTTCAATGGTCAAACCCAGCATGGCCCACGGCACGAGTCCAAGCATGCCCAAATCGGGCTGGACCGTAAGAGGCATATTAAAAAAATAAAATAAATGAAAATTTTAAAATAAAATAAAAAATAGACAAGAAATTGAAAAAACTCTTAAAGTTTTATTTTATATGAATTTTTGACGTATACAATTGTTTGTATATGAAATAAATAAATGAAATTAAAAGCCTTACGATACAATTAGAATAAAATAGTATATTAAAATTGAAAACATATATATATATATATATTAGTTGGAATCCATGCAATGCATGGGATATTTTAATTGAATTGCAAATTAGAGATAATGGGCTTTTAAAGAACCCTAAATACTTACAAACACCTTACCACAAAATTTCATCATAGATATCCCCCAATTAACCCTTCATCACACTAAGATTTTAATTTAGGCTATCTCAGGGACCAAGATATTCATTTCTTAAATGCCCTTGATCATACCATTTATGAGCCAATCAAACCCCACAAAATGATCCAATAAACCAATACCTCTAGAAACCCCATTGTTAGTACCTTATTTTTGCTCAATTCACCATCAAAACCCCAATTTACCTTGAACACCTCATCAAACTGTTCTAATACTTTCGAAGTACCTAAAAATCCCTAAACATTGTCATCAGACCTAGGACCTCTTAATATATCTACCCCTGAAATTTTAACCCAAGATTGCCCTCCATTTATTATTTTATCAAACCAAGATTCCCTTTCAAACCCTCTCGTTAGCTCGAAGCACCCATAACCCATATCTCCTTGATCCTAACACATTTGAATCAATTAAATCATATAATTGAACCCTAAACACACCAAAACATATACCCATAAATTTTCAACCTAAAATTCCCCCATTTGCCCCATTATTGAACAAATATTTCATTTTGGATGCTCTTGTTGATCCAAATTTCCATGATTTTGGTCCTCCAAAATCAATCAGATGTTTCCATAAGATCCTAGACACCCTAAAAACCCTACTCCCAAAAATTCAGCCCAAAATACCTTTGTTTGACCCTCTATTACACCAAGATTTTGTTTTAAAGCTTCACATTGACTAGATCAAGTCCTTTCTAAATCTGCCCGATCTCAACATAATTGGGCCAATATAACCCTGCCAATCAAACCACAATGCTCGAAAACACCACACTGCCAAATTTCAACAAAAAATTCCCTCGTTCTCACCTCCATCACACCAAGATTATGTTTCAAAATTAATAAAATATCGAATCACTACTCCTCTATATCTGCCTAATTCGAGCCTATTTAGGCCAATCTGACCCCACCAATCGATTCAAAATGCCTAAAAACACCATCATATAAAATTTCAATAAAAAATACCCTTGTTTACCCTTTATATAGAGGTGAAAAGCGCCCCGCACAAAGTGCGGGCCATCACGGGCTGTGCCACCCTCCCTAGTGAAAATTTTGGGGGTTGGTCTGGTACGGCCCAAGGCCTAGGCCCATGTCATGCCGTGTCATGCCGCAGGTCTGGGCCAAGCTGGGTTGTAGGCCGTGCTGGGCTAGGCCACAGGACAGGCCTTGGGCTTGGGCCAAACTGGGCTAGACTGAATGGATATCTCATATCAAGATACGAATAACGAATTTATGATTGT